ATGTTGACCAGGATGGTCTCGATCTCTTGACCTCGTGATCCACCCGCCTCGGCCTCCCACAGTGCTGGGATTACAGGCTTGAGCCACCGCGCCTGGCCGAACTGTTTTTTTTGTTGTTGTTTGTTTGTTTTTTTGTATTTAAGATGGAGTCTCACTCTGTCACCCAGGCTGGAGTGCAGTGGCGTGATCTCAGCTCACTGCAACCTCTGCCTCCTGGTTCAAGCAATTCTCTGGCCTCAGTATCCTGAGTAGTTGGGATTATAGGCACGCACCACCATGCCCAGCTAATTTTTGAATTTTTAGTAGAGGGGGTTTCACCATGTTGGCCAGGCTGGTCTTGAACTTCTGACCTCAATTGATCTGCCTTCCTTGGCCTCCCAAAGTGCTGGGATTACAGGCGTGAGCCACTGCGACTGGCCAAATGTGAACTGTTGAGGTCAGGATTTTTCCAAGTGTGGTCTATGGATACTTCATCAAATTCATCAGAAGGTGCTTGTTACAATAGCAGATACTTGGACCTACCCTAGATCTGCTGAATCAAAACCAGGGAAGTGGGATGGGGGGATGGGAGCTGTCTTCATTTAAAGTACTGTAATAGCTTCAGTTGGTCGGGTACTCATCTGTCTTAGTGCATTCTGAGCTACTGTAACAAAATATCATAACTTGGCAGCTGATAAAAAACAAATTTATTTCTCACAGTTCTGGAGGCCAAGAAATCCAAAATTAAGGCACTGGCATCTTCAGTGTTTGGTGAGGGCCCATTTCCTTCATAGATGGATGTTTTCCCATTGTAATCTCCCTTGGTGTTGCTTATACCTATTACCGGAAAAAATTTAAATTAAAAAATAATAATAATATCCCTTGGTGGAAGGTGCTAGCTAGCTCTCTGGAGTCTCTTTGATAAGAGCACAAACCTCAGTTATGAGGACAAAGCCCTAATGACCTAAAAGCCCTCTCATAGCCTCACCTTCGCATTAGGTTTTAACATAAATTTGAGAGGGAGGGGTCACAGATATTCACACCATAACATCATCCATGTTTGAAAATTACTGCTGTGGGTATACAAGAAGATCTTATAGTTTTGAATCATTTAATATCTAATTTCATTGTTAGTTACTCCTGCTACTCAGCTTAAATATCTGTTTTCTTTGGTCTGTCAAATAGACAACAATTCCTTCAATTAAGTAATATTTCAGTGATTATATATGAAGTACTAAAATAGGCACTGAGGAAATAGCACAGAGAGTAAGACAGGTAGGGTCCCTGGAGCTATCATTCTAGATTGGGAAAAGTGGCAGTAAGCAGATAAACAAATCAATAAGCTATGTGATTTCATATGAGAATATGTGTTTTGAAGAAAATAAACAGGTAGAGTAGAAAGTGACTGAGACAGGGATTATTATAGATGGGGTTGTCAGTGAAGCTCTTTCTCAGGAAGTGACACTTGAGCTGAGTCCTGAACGATAAGAAGAAGCCAGGCATGGAGAGACCATTTTATCAGTGTCCTTGTGCTGTATGTGGGAACCATTGATCCAGGAGCAGAGGACAAGTGGGAGTGGCTGGAGCCTGGCACATAAGTGCAGACAGGTGGGAGATGAGATTGAAAGGGTAGACAAGAGCCACATGGTTTGGGCCCTGTAAGCAGTTTGGGTTTTATCCTGAGCATGGAGGGTTAGAGTATGGGAGTGATGTGACCTAATTCTTGATGTCAAGAGCTGACTCTGGCTGCTATGTGGAGAATAGGCTGGAGAGGGACAAGGTAGGGAGTGGGGATAACCATTAGGAAAATATTACAGAAGTCCTGGAGAGGGACACGTGTGGATGAGGCCAGGCCTGTAGCTACGTGCAGAGGGAGGGGTGGACCTGGACAGAGCGTGTTTTCAGGTCGGGCAGGTAGGACCTGCAGTGGCTGTGTGCCTGGGGTGTATGTTCTTGGGGTGTATTAAGATAAAGGAGAGTTATGGAGAACACCTGAGCTTTTTGTTTGGCCATGTAGAGAAATGGTGGTGCTGTTTTCTGAGATCCGTCCTTCCAAGTGCTTTGAGATATTCTCAAGTTACTTAGTTAGTTTTATTATAACTAACATAAGTTATAATAAAAATTAGTGATTTTAAAAACGTGTTCGTAGATGAATATGATTCAGTTATAAGACTATTCAGCTTTTTTCCCCAGCGTCTCTGTAGTAGAATTTTTTAAATGATGTGATTGCTCACCATTTATCTTTTTAAAAATGAAAACACTAGTTAATATATTTTTAAAACGTTTTGTCTTCTACATTATGTTCTGTATAATGCCAGTTTTACAGATGTAACAAATGAGTGACTATAAGGTAAATTTAAGTATTCAAAATCACTCAGTCTTTATGTGGCAGAACTAGGGCTTGTCTCTTTTCTGTCTCCAGAGCCCACACTCCTGACCAATACACCTAGGAAGAAGAAAAAGCATTTGTGAGGTATGGTGATTACCTAAGGTCACCATCTAGAGTTAATGGTTTAGATCTGGCACTGTGGCCCAAGTATATGTCCTGTCTTCCACCCAGCTCCCTGTTCATTAGACCTGGCATTAGCTTTGTTACTATGTGTAGTGAATCACTTTTCAAGGGCTTAGGATGGATGTTTCCCTGAGGTTAACCTCCAGGTAATGTAAGAGTACACTAAGTACCTTCAACTGAAAAGAACTGGCATGTTGATTTCTTTTCTTTTTTTTTTTATTTTTGAGATGGGGTTTCACCATGTTGGCCAGGATGATCTTGATCTCTTGACCTCGTGATCCACCTGCCTCGGCCTCCCAAAGTGCTGGGATTACAGGCGTGACCCACCGCGCCTGGTGTGTTGATTTTCTTCTCCAGGCCAAGCTATACTGAAAGAATAGAGGAAAATTTCCTGAATCATACAAAATGTGCTTTTTTTCTGTCTGGCTCCTTCAGCATCTTAACATGAATTTTACCTTTATTGTTGTCTGTTGTAGATCATTCTCATTAATGTGTAGTATTATGTTGTGTGGATTTTTTTATATCTATATATGTATATTTTTTTATAGAGATGGGGTTTCACCGTGTTGGTCAGGCTGGTCCTAAACTACTGACCGCAGGTGATCCGCCCGCCTCTGCTTCCCAAAGTGCTGGGATTACAGGCGTGAGCCACTGCGCCCAGCCTTTTTCTTTTCTTTTCTTTTTGTTTCTTTTTTTCTTTTTTTGTTTTGTGGATACTTTGCAATAAACATATCTATTATGGGGATTTGAGTATTTTTCAGTGTTTGACTTACTATGAATAATAGTATTATGAATGTTTTCTACATATCTTTTTTTTAAATTGTTATTTTAGGTTCAGGGGCACATGTGCAGGTTTGTTATATAAGTAAACTCGTGTCACATGGGATTGTTGTACAGATTATTTCACGACCCAGGTAATAAGCTTAGTGCCCAGTAGTTAATTTTTCTGATTTTCTCCCTCCTCCCACCCTCCATCCTCAGGTAGGCCTCAATGTCTGTTGTACCCCTCTTTGTGTCCATGTGTTCTTATCATTTAGCTCCCACTTATAAGTAGGAATATGCAGTATTTTGTTTTCTGTTCCTGCATTAGTTTCCTAAGTATAATGGCCTCCAGCTCCATCGATGTTGCTGCAAAGGACATGATTTCATTCTTTTTTCTGGCTGCATAGTATTCTGTGGTGTATATATACCACATTTTCCTCATCCAGTCTACCATTAATGGGCATTTCTGTTGATTCCATGCCTTGGCTATTGTGAACACTGCTGCAATTAGCTTGTGTCTTTATGGCAGAACACTTTATATTCCTTTGGGTGTATAACCATTAATAGAATTGGGGTTGAATGGTAGTTCTGTTTTCAGCTCTTTGAGGTGTCACCACACTGCTTTCCACAGTGGTTGAACGAATTTGCCCTCCCACCAACGGTGTATAAGCATTCACTTTTCTCTGCAACCTTGCCAGCATCTGTTATTTTTTGATGTTTAATAATAGCCATCTGACTGTGTGAGTTGCTATCTCATTGTGGTTTTGATTTGCATTTCTCTAATGATCAGTAATATTGACCTTTTATTCATATGCTTGTTGACCATATGTATGTCTTCTTTTGCAAACTGTTCATGTCCTTTGTCAACTTTTTAATGGGGTTGTTTGTTTTTTCTTGTAAATTTAAGTTCCTTATAGATGCTGGATATTAGGCCTATGTCAGATACATAGTTTGCAGATATTTTCTTCCATTCTATAGGTTGCCTGTTTAATCTGTTGGTAATATCTTTTGCTATGCAGAAGCTCTTTAGTTTAACTAGATTCCATCTATCAACTTTTGCTTCTGTTGCAGTTGCTTTTGATGTTTTCATCATGAAATGTTTGCCCATTCCTATGTCCAGAATGGTATTGCTTTGGGTGTCTTCTAGGATTTTTTTAGTGTTGGGTTTTATACTTAAGTCTTTAATCCATCTTGAGTTGATTTTTGTACATAGCATAAGGAAGGGGTCCAGTTTCAATCTCCTGTGTAAGAGTATCCCCAGGCCTACTTATTGAATAGGGAGTCCCTTTGCTTGTTTTTGTCAACTTTAACAAAGATCACATGGTTATAGGTGTGCAACCTTG